CAAGTGTTAATAAACATTGTTAAAAGTAAAATGAATTTCGGCTTCATAAAGCTTTGGCATTTGAGCCTTGACAAATAAATAAATTTACAGATATATGGGGTTTAATCCATTCCATTGGGAGTTCAATATGTTACAATGAAATAATCAAATTGAAATTTCCATTTATTCACTTACAACGTTTGATATTTTATAGATTTAGTTTTAGTTGAATTCACTTCTGCCATAATTCTGCAACATTAAGGCACAGACAAACAGACATAACACTCACCATCACATTCTTCGCAAATAAGATTTTAGTTGGGAATGTGCTTGCATGTGTCATGGTGGCGCCACTGAAGCGTTAAGCAAGCCACTACATTTTGAACTTATCAATGATTCCAGTTCTTTTTAAAGCCAATTTAGTAGATGTCAGTTCTTGAGAATGATAAGGGGACCAAGGCATCCCACTTAAGACATATACAGTAACGACCCGATTTTGTCAGCCCCCTTTTGCAAAAACTTTTCTAATGTTCGCTTTTTCAGTGGTCTTATTGCACCAAAGTATAAACACCTATATTGTAGATGCATGAGAATGATTTAGAGTTGAGATTTTATGAAATTATTTAATGATAAAAGTCTAATGCGCCCCTCCGACAAAATCGGCACAAAATGTACGGATGTACTTGGGACCAATAGGCTAGTCAAGTGAGCCAAATTAAAATCGTCAGTTTCAACCGGTTGTTATAAATATGCAATTCCGACAAGCACGGACGAAAAATATGAATGAATAACAAGCAGAGACAAAGCGGATCAAGCGTTGGCAACCTGTATCAAGTTCCTGGACCAGCATTCGGATGCTGTTGGATATTAGTTGATGGAAGATGTGGATGAACGGATTAAAAGTAAGCAATTGAGAGCCATCAGAAAGACGAAGAAGAGCAACACTAAAGGGCGAACACGAAATTATTGCGACACCGAAAATGTCATGCAAATTTTCTTATAATGTTTAGAATCAAACCAAAATTTCAGGGTAGTTTTATACATATATTTACTTCAAAAATCAAAAGAAAAGTTAATCGATGGAGCCTTGAGTGTAAAATTGAACGCATTTTCGCTTGATGCCCTCCATCAAAATCTTTACAGTGTCATCCGGTACCAGTTTCTCAGTTTTTTTTTCCATTTTCTTAACATGTCCTTCTCGTCTTCTTGCTCTTCCGAAGTTCCTGCTTCATTATTGCCCAGTACTGCTCCACCAGGCGCAGCTCCGGACAGTTTGGCGGATTCATGTCCTTTGGAACAAAATGGACAGAATTGGCCTCATACCACTCCAGGACACTTTTAGAATAGTGGCATGATGCCAAATCTGGCCAAAATAGCGGAGCTTCGTCGTGCTGCTGCAAGAACGGCAAAAGGCGCTTCTCGAGGCACTCAGATTTGTAGATCTGTGCCCTTTGTCACGAAAGGCTCACTCCTCAGTCCGCAAGAGCAGATGGCCTGCCAAATGAGATATTTGGAGGTGAACTTCGACATTTTCTTCTTCTTAAATTTGTCGTCCACATCGAACTTGCTTTTGCCGGTGAAAAAGTCCAACCCCGGAATTTGCTTAAAATCGGCTTTTATATACGTATCGTCGTCCATCACACAGCAGCCATATTTTGTCAGCATCTTCTCGTAGAGCTTCCGTGCCCGAGTTTTAGTCGTCGATTGTTGCCGCTCATCGCGGTTTGGGAAGTTCTGTACCTTGTATGTATGTAGTCCAGCTCTCTTCTTTGCATTCTGGACGTAGCTCTGCGACATGCCGATCTTTTTAGCCAGATCACGGCTTGAGACGTTGGGATTTGCTTTAATCATCCGCTTCACCTTTCCCTCCGTCTTTTTGTTCTCCGGTCCCGGTTTTCTTCCAGCTCATTTGCCGTGGTCCAACGTCAACCGCTCCTGGAACCGCTTCAACACTCTGGAGACGGTTGAATGGTGAATGTTCAACATTTTTCCCAACTGCCGGTGCGACAGGTCAGGAAATTCCAGGTGTTTGGAAAGAATTTGTTCTCTCAACTCGCGTTGGTTCACCTCCATTTTCGTTGAATCGAAAAACACGACTTCGAGTTTGACAGCATGTACACAATACACATCAATGAGAAAGTGTGCAAAATTTGGTTGATTTTTACCCAATGGTAAAAAAGTTATGCCCTGTTGAATGTGTCGCAATAATTTCGTGTTCGCCCTTTAGTAAATTTTAAATTCGTTAATGAACAATCTTAGCGGTTTGGGCCTCCTGTTTATTTATTAGGGCGTGTTGAAAAGTTCAAAGTTATGGAAAATCGCAGTCGTTTAACTATTCCACCAAAATTTGTATACCTCAGTTAGATAATTCATTACCCAACAGCGACCGAGACAGCGACTGCTGACATTACTAAGCTACTTAAGGTCTATTGCTGGTACTACTATCGCCGGTGGGAATTTTAGGTCGAATCCTTCCTGATTTCTAGTTTGTAGCATTGCCCGAGTAGCATGATGATGTAGAGGCACATGGCACATCTTCCACTTGCCGATTGAGTACTTAGGATACATTTATTTGGTGAACGTCTACCAGAATGACACCCTCGTGGGTGGACAACTTCTGCCATCAGTCACCCTTCTCGTTCTCGTGCAGGTGCAGAACTTCGAGGTTGGCAACGGTCAGCGTATACTTGCTAACAGTTGAACCCAGAGGAATGAATGGTCTACAAAAAAAGTTAAGGGTTGTGTCCAAAGCACGACCGCATTGTTGACTTAGAACTACGAGATTGTTTTTGATGTTCCATTCACTAATATATTAATAACAAAATAAATGGTTTAGAAACTGAACTCCAATTGGAATTTACAGAGAATGCTACAATGCATAATCACGATGGTGTTTCAATATGATGTCTGTGTTTGGGAAACAATAACAAAATGAAATTTTGATTGCCTTCCTTTTTGCACACGCCAGTAAGTTACACAGACTCCTCCCCATTTGCGTAGTTTGCCAATGTCAATACCATGAAAGCAAAGGGCAATTAACGAGTTATTAACGAAAGATGAAGAGAATCGATCAAAATCACTTGCACCCCTGTTTCCGAGTTTGGTTACAAGATTACAACTTTGGAGAGCATTTTGTGTGGCCGTTGGGGGCATGTGGTTCTGATTATGGACAAACAGGCACAGATAAATGCTATTCCAACTCTTTACTGTAATAAGCTTGTTGGCCCTGAAAAGGGCCATTGTGTTGCCAAATTTGGTGATGATTTAACCTCCGAAACCACACAGAGTGCGTCTATCGCTTGAAAACGTAGACGACATACATGGCCGCTGATGCTTGGCGTGTTCACTTTTTATTTTTACATTGGACAATTAACACTTATTCAATAGTTTCTTGTTGAAAATCATCAGTCGGAAACATTGCTTTTGATGCGTAGACATATTTCTGATCGATTGGTGAAAAAATTATTGAAATTGGTCCAGGGGCAGCTGAGTTATTAATGTTCAAAATCTTTCATAACTTTGTTACATGTTCCATTTTCTGTTTTCACAAAGTGTACCCCCATATAGAAATCACAGACGTAGTCCTACGTCAAACAAGATCCACATACGTGTTATTTGATGCTCGTTTTACTTATAAACAGGACAAGCACAGTTATTACCATCGTATATACCCTGCAATATGCACACAAATAGCTCATTTAGTCATCCGTGAGAACTTGACGAGGTAAACAAATAATCTTAAAAGTCATAACTGCAGGGTTGGCAAACTCATGGGGTACTGAGACCGACGGCTTGATTGTCACACTTCGGCACAACGCTGTAATGGGACAATTCGTTTGACTATGTTTCCAATCTTTCCAGCACAAAGTTATTATGAAAATATCTGGAAGGAAGTAGGCCGCGCGATTGAAATGACGTGTTTTGATTTTGCTAAAAAAAAAGTCTCTGTGTTTTTATGGATTTTATCAAATTTGAACGATTAAAAAAAAACTCTAAAATTGATTGTGATAAGATCTTATTCCGGATTTGTATCTGAAGGACGAAAATTGGAAGAGGCTGATAGGCAAACAGAAGGTCATCAAGATGGAGTGAATCAAGCGAGTTGGTCGCCGGTAAGGGCCAGTAAGTGCTGCCAGCAGATGAATCAATAGGTATTCGAAACAAAATTGGTAAGAAATGTCCATTCAAATCGATTTAATACAGTTGAACAAATTTCAAAACTATATACGTGCCAGATTTCGAAATAATATTTTTTGAATATATAAGTGTATTTATGAGACCATTATCCATTTGATAAAGGTAGAGTGAACATGCGGGGCTTATTGTAAGGAAAAGTGACCTCGGAGTGGTCGTGAATTACCAGGCATTCTGAAATGGGTCACTGGAGCTGCAATAGAGCTAACACCTTCTTACTCCCGGACTAAACCTGCTTTAATTTAAGGGTAATAAAAAGCAGTTTTCTTCCATAATAACACTGCCGGACAGTGGGGGTTAGATTGCACACACACACACACACACACACACACACACACACACACACACACACACACACACACACACACACACACACACACACACACACACACACACACACACACACACACACACACACACACACACACACACACACACACACACACACACAACACACACACACACACACACACACACACACACACACACACACACACACACACACACACACACACACACACACACACACACACACACACACACACACACACACACACACACACACACACACACACACACACACACACACACACACACACACAAAGTTATTATGAAAATATCTTCATTGGAGCAATCAGTTTTGACAAAAACGCACATGGGACCGACTTGCGATGAGCAGCAGTATGGGCATTAGAAGGCTGTGTGATTACTCCAAAACAGTGCGTTAATGATAACATTCGTGAGTTCCTTCCGTGGTCAGGCAGCACGTTGTGAGATACGCAACCATGTGACAAGAGGATACCCACCATGCCAATAAGACTGGAGTGGCACGTGCGCGTCTGCGCTCCAGCAGCCTTTCTCCATATTCAACTCTGGGAAAGCGCACAGCAATTTTCCTGATGAAAATCCAACACTTTGTTTTGACAGAATCGGGAAACAGGAAATCTCCCGAAACACGAATCGGAACCATCGTCCAGTTGCTAATGTGATTTTGTTACTGGTGTTCGATTATAGAAAATTGATTGATTGGCCCCAGAATAGTTCCAATTATTACGGGTTCACGTTACTGGTAGTGTTTAAAAAGTAACACCTGTGTAATTACCAAGTATACTAGATCATAGTCTTGTGTGTTTTGCCTGCTACTACGACTCTGCCTTTCGCCGTGGAAAAAGATGGCCTCCGGAAAATTTTCCCTGTGAAGTGGCTGAAGTGATTGTGTTGTGAAGTTTACAGCAAGAAGTGTCGAGTGTTTAAAAATGGCTACTAAACCACCTCAGGATACCTCCGGTCTGGGTTATTCGTACGTAACCCCCGGAGGGATGTTCCTGAGGTTGAGAAACTCCCTATCACAGTTTAGTGATTTGTTCAGCGAGTTTAACAAGTACATCGCCCCTGCCTATCATCACGATCGCTGTGAACGGTCCGTCCATATGCGACTGTATTCAATGAACAAGCGGGAATTCGTAGTGGTCTTTTTGGCGTTCTTTGCCTGCTTCGGATTGGGCATCTTCATTGGGTTGGCTGGACCACCCATTACCTTGACTACGATGGTCACCGGAAGTTCGCTGATGCCAAATACGACCAGTCCAAACCTGGACTACTTAGCCAATGGGCCGTTTGTGATGCGAACGCCACTGATGACTACGTACTCACAGCAGCTGTGGCTAATAGCCAACATCGAGACGGACAACACCGATGATGAGATATTCGACAAAAGTTTCCATGTCAGTGTTGGAATCGACGGCCTCACGGTGGAGCACAAACCGGTTACGGTATTGAGTGTTGAAAACAGTAAAAATCGTACGCGCCATTTGACCTGCTCACGTGATGCCTGCGACGAGTTCATCGTACTACATCTGGGCTTTTTGGATTATGCCCATTACATCATCACGGTACGATTCATTGGGCTGGATGGATTCCACCATCGGTACAACATCAATAGCGTACAGTTCTACTTCAAAACATACAATCCAGCGTTCACCCAGATCGAGATATGGTTCCGATTCATATTTCTGTTGTTTACATTCATTGTGACCTGTTGGTTCGCGCACACCCTTCGGAAGTATCCCATCTACGATTGGTCGATAGAGCAGAAGTGGATGTCGATTCTGCTGCCATTGTTGCTGCTGTACAACAGTAATGACATTAGCGTTTGTTAGCATTGAACGGTTTTAATAAATAGAGTGGTCATTTTGCAGATCCCGTTTTCCCGTTGATATTCTTGATAAACAGTTGGCTACCGGGAATGCTGGACGCAATCTTCCAAGCCACGTTCCTGTGCGCCTTGCTACTGTTTTGGTTGTGCATCTACCACGGACTGCGTCAGAACGAACGGAAGCTGCTGACGTTCTATGTACCGAAGTTGATCGTAATTTTGCCCATATGGTTGTGTGCCGTTGTGCTAGCGACGTGGGAAAGCAACGAAATGAAGGATCCCACCTACAGCCATTTCGTCGACACCGCGAACTATAATGTGAGTATATAGTGGAGAGCGAGCAACAGAACAGTTAGGCAGAGGCAGTAGGTCTCGACACTGGGGGTATATAACCAAAGCAACACACATGATCTGTAATAGTTTATATAACCTTTGTATGACTGGTTTTGGTTGTGCAGTAGTTTACTCAACATAATTAAATGAATTTGTGCTACTTATTGGGAAGCTTATTCTTCTTGGTCTTCTAGGCTTTTACGCTTCTGTAGCGATCGTTTTGCCGGCTCTCAGCTTAGTGTTCTACTAGGTGCACTTCCACAGTTATGAAACGAACCTGCCCCGCCTCCGGGTTGGTAATACCGTGCCTTTACTGACTAGGCTATCTGAGGCCCATCGGTATATAAGCTGCTAAAACATAATTTTAAAATGGTTACTGCATGTAAAATAATGTAATGTTCGGGTTCACAAATATAGAGATTTTTGAACCTTTTCACCGGCGTAGTAAAATTTTTAAGACACTGGGCGACTTTAAATGTTCATGTCCTTCATGGCATTATTTTCAAGATGTTGAATGTAGCCTTCCCACGCTCCCCCTAGTCAACAGACTAGAAATAGTCCCGATGATGAGTTGTAAAAAAAAATTCAGATTATACAGACTACATATACTACAGTTACAAACGAATATAACAAGGAAATAATTGTCAAGGTACTAAAAATGTATAAATCTAAAATTTTACCCTCAGCTGTTAGGCGTCAAGCGCCTTCGGTCAGCGAAAAAGGCAGAGAATCTTCGGCACAGCATATTCCGTGTCAAGTGGAAATCGAACATCGACGCTACTCGGTTGAACACTCGCTACAAGCCGTAAATAGCGCTCCCTAAGCTATCATTAGTTCGAAGAAGTGCAAGTCTTTGCATAAAAGGTTGAACATTACTGTTCACTTGTTGCAGAATTGCATCGCAGTCGATTCTTCCTTGCAGAGATCGGCGACGGTTAAGGCTCTGAAAACATCTCTTCGGATACGTAAGGGCTCGACATTGATCAATTGGCAGTGATTCTCGTAGCTTGGAAGACGAAGTGGGTATCTCCAAGGCAGCTTACGGAGTGCGAAGCGAAGAAAACGTCGTCGCACAGATTCAATTCGCTCGGCCCCATTATTGTAGTTCGGGCTCCAGATTTGCAGAGCAGTATTCCAAAGTTGATCGTACGAGAGAGCAATAGAACGATTTCAAGCAGTAAATGTCTGTGAAGTTCTTAGTAATCTTGAAGACAAAGCCAAGAGTTCTGGACGCTTTGTCGACGACTTTGAGTCCAGAAAAAAACGCCTAAGTCTCTCACGCAATGCACCCGTTCGATAGTCGTGCCTAGTAGTTTGTAGTTGAAAATAATCGGTTGTTTCTTGCGTGAGAAAGTAATGATTGTAAACTTAGCTGGGTTGACTACCAAGTCGGTTTAGACTACACCAGTCAGCAAAGATGTCAATCTGATTTTGGAGAGAACGGATGCGCAGAAACACTTTCAGATCGTCTGCAAACGATAATCGTGGCCCTGTGATAACATGGTGAACGTCGTCGAAGTAAAGGAGAAATACCAATGGTCCCAGATGGCTACCCTGAGGTATACCGGACTTTGCGCAGATGCTTGCTGAGCGACAAGTACCCAAAGTTACTGTCATTTGGCGCTCCGTGAGGTATGAGCGAAACCATCTCCAAAAATTTCCACCGATCCCTAGCCTATCAAGCTTAGCGATCCGAATTTCGTGGTTCAGCTTATCGAATGCTGCCGTAAGATCTGTGTAAATAACGTCCGTTTGAGTCTGAGCAATCAAACTGTACGTGACGTAAGACGTCAGGCTCAGCAGGTTCGTAGTTGTGGAACGCGCAGTTATGAATCCGTGTTGATCTATACTTAGATATTGCTTGCAATGCGCATTTAGGGACTCTATGACAACCAATTCAAAAAGTTTTGATACAGCACTCAGCGACGTGATTCCCTGGTAGTTGTTTACGTCGCGTTTGCTTCCCTTTTTATGAACAGGAAACATATCCGCAGACTTCCAGCAAGACGAAAAGATGACGCTGGAAAGAGAAAGCTGGAATATGCGGCGCAGTGGATCTAAAAGACAAGTGATGTTCTTTTTAAGAATAATCGACGGAACACCATCGGGTCCAGCCTTAGCTGAAGTCTTAAGTTTAGATGCTGCTCTAGAAATCGTATCTGTAGTGGCGTCGACAGCGCTAAGCGTTTGGTTGACCAAAGGAACATTACTGACCGCGGAAGTAATGAGATTAGCGGAGAGTAGCTCGTCTTGCAACACACTAGCAAATTTGGCTGAGAACAGGTTGTAAATGTCTTGTTGATTGCCAGCAGTTTCACCGTTAAAAATCATTTGAGAGGGTAAGCCGACTTCCCTGCGTTGCTCATTTACGAAGTTCCAGAAGAATTTCGGATGTGATTTTAGCCGCCGTTGAATCCTCCTTTGATAGCGTTGAAAACAGAGACATAGTAGCATTTCAGCGGCAATGCGCGGAGTTTAGTAAATCTTCTGAGAGCAGCTTTCTTAGTTCTTTTCAACAAGCGAAGATCTTTCGTCATCCACGGGATGCGAGAGTCGATATGGATGATCTTTTGGAAACGTGCCTGTCAGTAACATACCGTATGCCTGATAATGTTTGCACCATCGTACAAATAAGGTTCCCGTTTCACCTGTGCATACAATGCCTTGGTTTTCTTTGCATGCACGTAACCTATAGCTCATACCGTAGTAGCAACAATCAATACGAAACTAACGATTTTAACTTGGCTCACTACTTGACTAGCCTATTGGTCCCAAGCAAATCGATTAACGTACCCCATTCTAGTCAAAATTCTAGTGCTACACAATGTTTGTTTTGATTCGCTATGAAAGTTTGACAGATAAAATGAGGGGTTATTGGATTTTCCTATGTTTCGAGGGGTGAATCGATTAGCTTGGGACCGAAGATAGTACCAGAGCTGAGCCAAAAAGTTGAGCACGTTTCTTCGGGACCTACTAGTCTTAGAGTTACCTCTATGGTAGTAGGCTGTGTATAAAAGAAAATGATTTATTTAGTTTGACAGTTGCACCATGACGAGTTGGCAGTGTATTCGTGATTTGTCCCACGCGCAAATGTCGCAAAAAGACATTTCAATCGCCGTGGGAGTGTCCCGGTGGACTGTCAAAAGGGTTTTAGACCGAGAAAAGAAAGGACAACTATCCGCGAAGGTGGCCACAGGTCGTCCGAGGTCAGCTCGGGTTATCGCTACTATCAAAAGGAAGATTCGGGTGAATCCAGTGCGTTCAATAACGAAAATGGCAAAGGAACACGGGATCAGTGACTTTACGGCACGGGAGATCGTAAAGGAAGATTGCGGGGCAAAGTCGAGGGCACGGAAAAAAAACTCACATGATTACCAACCGCTACGAGTCGAACGATGCAAGAAAATCTTGAACTTGCTTAAACGAAAAAATCCTTTAATCCTGTTCACCGACGAGAGCATGTTTACCGTTGATCCCGTATCAAATTCCAGAACCGGCCGGTATATTAGTTCTCTTCCAGTAAAAGACGTGGCCGACGAGCACAAGAACGTGTATCTGACCAAGCATCCTGCTAGCGTTATGTCGTTTGGATTGGTGGCTTCCGATGGCAAAAAAATGAACCCGGTGTTCATTCCAGAAGGCGACAAGGTCAACACGGAGGTCTACATCGGGATTTTGAGTAAGTATGTTCTTCCGTGGATCAAAGAACAGTACGGTCCGAAGCCAAATGTTGTATTTCAACAAGATGGGGCTCCGTGCCACACCTCGAACCGCCTTCAGAAGTGGTTTCAGGAACATCTTCCGTTCAAGGCGAAGGATATGTGGCCGCCATCCAGCCTCGATCTTAATCCGCTGGATTACTCAATATGGCGCGTCATGAAGGCCAAGGCCTGTTCTAAACGCCACCCGAGTACAGCAAGCCTCAGACAAACATTGACCCGTACCTGGAGAGAAATGGATCCAGACTACATTATTAGAACCTGCCGTGCATTCCGGAAGCGTGTGGAGTAATTGCAGCAAGTGGAAACTCGATCGACATCCCCCTTTACATAAACAAAAAAACTCGAAAACAAAATTTTTGAGAATTTTTTTAATTTTGACATTGCTCAATGGTGCAAACATTATTACGCATACGGTATGTCAAGACGTGAGAAAAAGTTTGTGCAGCAATCAACATTGCTGCACAAACTTTTTCTCACGTCTCACGTCTACAGGATCTAGAATATGCTCCAAAGCTAGGTTAGACAGCACATGGACAATACTGCGATGGTCAGGGCTGACCTCAACCGCTGATCGGATTCAGTTCCAATTATCGTGTGTGGTGATGTCAGGTTGTCGGCATAAGCAGCAGCAACAGCAGTGCTTTCAGCACGTGGCGTTGAACATTGTTCTCAAGTACACAACGAAAAGATGCCTGCAAGCAGCGAGCTGCAGCCCACATGAGCATCCATAGAAGGAGGAAGAAGCCGCACCGCTATTGATCGGAATCAGTAGCTCTTCGTGAGTTTCTGTGGGCCATATATGTCAAGCGCTTCATAATAAAGAGTACAAACAGAGAGAACCCCGCTAAAATTCTTATTCCTACACAAAATACAAACTCTTGCTGCAGTTAACAAATAAGATTTATTATACAAGACCACGTAGTCCTACGTCGCCATTGCGTACAACCCCATAGGGCTGTCCCTTGTAGTTTTTAGATATAGTTCTTACTTGATCCAAATCAGTTCCCAGGAATCATAAAAAAAATCCCAATTTTAAATATTCAGATACTCCCGAGCAACCTGATTCTTAAGGGGAAGCTCACCGCTCCGAAAAAAATAATTACGTTTTGATTTTTCTAAAAATATTGGAAAAAGATATCAAAAATCTAAAAAAAATCACATTTTGTCTAATTTTTCAAAGAAAATTCACGTGCGAAAACATTTTGTATGAGTTATTATGGCATAAAGTTGGACTCAAAAAACCACAAAACATCGATTTTTCAG